TGAACAGAGCTGGCTGGTGTTCAGAGCATTCTTCCAGTGAGGGTGCTGGGGACAGACCCAAGAGGGGTCGGGGAGGAAGTGGTCGCGCGTGTCTGTTCTCGCTGAGATGGGACCCCACACTCAGTGCCCCGGGGGACCCCCTCCCGGCTGAGCCCCCGCCCCCCGCCCCGCCGGGGCTCCCGATGGTGGAGGTCAGTTACCTTCTCCGTCTGCTGCTGCAGGATGGGCAGATTCTCCTCCAGCTTGTCCAGCCCCCTGTGGGCGTACTCACTGGCTGACGTGACTGCAAGAGACGGGGCGAGACTGAAATCGAGACTGGGGCGCGGGCACGCCCCTCGGGACCGGGGAGGGGCAGCTCCCCATCCCCCCCCCCCCCCCCAAACAGCCAAGAGGTAGGCTCCGTGCTCGCCGGGGCTTTGCTTACTCTGGGGCTCCAGCTTGGAGAGGAGGGGCTGGGCCCCGCTGATGGCGGCCGCCGTGAGGGTCTTCACGCCTTTCTCGGCCGCATCGCAGACGGTCTTGACGTGGGGGTGGCTCTCCTTGGTGGAGGCGTAGGCCGCCGACACCATGTTGCAGGTGGAGCTGATGAGGGGCATGCCGGCCACGCGGTCCACCACGCTCGGCTACGGGGACGGGCAACTCAGGGGGCCGGGCCTAGGACTTGGGGTGCCCTGCAATTTCGAATTCCCTCCCGGCCAGGAAACGGCCCGGCCCGCGCTTGCTTTGTGGCCACGTGGTTGCACCAGCCGGGGCCTGGGGGTTCCTTCCGCTCTGGGCTTCGTTTATCGCAGCCCCTCCCCCTCATCTGTTTGACCGTGCACTTGACACCCACTGTGGGCCAGTGACCAGAGACGAGAGCCCTGCGCAGCTGGGGTCGGCAAGCTACAGCCCGTGGGGGGCCCACACCCGATTTTCTTATTTAAAAAAAAATTTTTTTTTAATTATTTATTTTTGAGAGACCGAGAGACAGAGTGTGAGCAGGGGAGGAAGAGAGAGAGAGAGGGAGGCATAGAATCCGAAGCAGGCTCCAGGGTCTGAGCCGTCAGCACAGAGCCTGACGCGCAGCTTGAACTCCCGAACCGCAAGATCATGACCTGAGCCCGAAATTGGACGCTTAACTGAGCCACCCAGGCGCCCTGTGATTTTCTTATTCTTGTCTGTTTTTTCCTAACAGCTCTATTGAAGTAATTCACACACCATTAATGCCACCATTTAAAAACGCAATTTAAACAAATATTAAAAAAAAAAAAAAAAAAAAAAGCAAGCACAATTCTGAGGGTTTTAGTGTTTTCACAAGGTCGTACAACCACAGCAGCTAATTCTAGAACTTTGTCATCACTCCCAGAATGGTCACTCCTTGTTTCCCCCCGCCCTAGCACCCAGGAATCCACTTCCTGTCTGTGGATGAGCCTGTTCTGGGCATTTCACACATGTGGACTCCCACCCCGTGGGGCTTCTCATGTCTGGTTCCCTTCCTGAGCATCGTGTGTTCAAGGTCCGTGCTCCATATGGTAGCATGTATCAGTGTTAGGTTTTTTGTGTTTTTTTTTTTAATTTTTAAAAAAGTTTATTTTGAGAGCGAGAGAGAACATGAGTAGGAGAGGGGCAGAGGAGACGGAGAGAGAGAATCCCAAGCAGGCTCCACACTGTGATCACAGAGCCGATGTGGGGCTTGAACCCACGAACTGTGAAATCATGACCTGAGCTGAAGCCAAGAGTTGGACGCTTAACCGACTGGGCCACTAGGTGCCCCTCATCTTAACTGTTTCTAAGTGCACAGCTCAGTGGCGTCAAGCTCACGCACTGTCGTGCAGCCACCCCCAGCCATCCGCCTCCAGAACTTGTCCCCAAACTGAGGCTCTGTCCCCACGAAATATGGACTCCCTGCCTCCAGCCCTGGCTCCCACCATCTACACTCTGTCTCTGTGACAGGACTCCTCTAGGGACCCCTGTGAGTGGGGTCACACAGGACATGGCCTTCTGTCTGGCTTCTGTCACTGTGCACAGCATCCTCCGGATCCATCCACATGGTGGCAGGTGTCTGTGCTCCATTCCTTTATGTGGCTAATGTTCCGTTGCCGGCTGGTTTTGTAAATAAAGTTTTATTGACAGCCACGCCCCTGGTCATTTACATATGGAATATGGCTGCTCTTAGCCTACAGGAGCAGAATTGAGTTGCTGGGACAGAGGCTCAGTTTCCCCACCCATAACATGGGGGCGGGCATCCATTCCCGTTCAGTAGGAGTTGCAAAGATCACTCGTGTGAAGATACCGGCAGAAGACTCACAGGCACCGTGTGAACTCGCGTTTGAACGCACTTAACCGCCAGTCCCGGGAGGTGGGGCATGTTATTCCATTTTACAGAAGGGTTAACTGAGGCATGGAGGGGTTGAGTAAGTCACCCAAGATCACAAAACCAGGCAGCGGCCACTCTGGGCCTTAGACTCAGACCGTCTGCCTCCAGGGTTTACCCACGAGGTCTCTTCAGGACTTAATCACCGATCTCCTGGGTAATCCAGCAACTCTGCTTTTAGGAATCTACCCCAGGGACAAGACACACACATCCACACAAGACTCGCCCATGAAGGTTCCCAGCATTCCTGACGGCCAAGTTAGGTGGAAACAACCCAGATGTCCATGATTTGGTGAGTGGATTAAAGAGAAAAAAAAAAAAAAAAGTATGGTATAAGGTAGGTTTTAAAAAATTCATAGTCTCAGGGCACCTGGCTGGCTCCTGGAGGACATGGGACTCTTGAAATTGGGGTCGTGAATTCAAGCTCTGTGTTTGGAGTAGAGTTTACTTAAAAAACAACAGGGATGCCTGGGTGGCTCAGTGGGTTAAGCATCTGACTCTTGATTTTGGCTCAGGTCATGATCTCACGGTTCATGAGCTCGAGCCCCGAGTTGGGCTCTGTGCCGACAGCTCAGAGCCTGGAGCCTGCTTCGAATTTCGTGTCTCCCTCTCTCTCTGCCCCTCCGCCTCTCACACACTCTGTCTCTCTCTCAAAAATAAACAAACATTAAAAAAAAAAATTTTTTTTTTTTAAAAGGAAGGAGGGCACCTGGAGCGGCTCAGTAGGTTAAGCGTCCGACTCGGTTTCGGCTCAGGTCATGATCTCGCGGTTTGCGAGTTGGAGCCCCGTGACTAGCTCTGCACCTCCCCTGACCCCGCCACACCCCCCCCCCCACACACACAGTTTTTAAAGGAAGGAAATCGAAAAGACAAATCCTGCAGGATTTCACTCATGAGGTACCTAACATAACAGATAATAGGTAAATTACCTTAAATTTACCATAAATTTACCATAAAAGGTAAATCTCAGTTTACCTATTCTGGACATTGCAGAGTGAATTTATAAAAGTGAATTTATAAAATTCACTCTGCAGTGTCCAGAATAGGTAAACTGAGATTAGTGGGGGCCAGGGGCTGGGGAGGAGGGGAAGGTAATGGGAATGACTGGTAACGGGGATGGCGTTTCCATCTGGGGGGAGAAAAAGCTTCTGGGACTAGATGGCGGTGGCGGTTGCACGTGGCCAATGTACTCAACGCCGCTGAACCGCGCACAATTCAGCACAGTATTTGTATCGTTGTCATGTGTCGTTTTACCTCGGCTTCAAGCAAAGAACGAAGCACGGACGACCCACGATGTGGGTACGCCCCCAAAAACATGATGCTCAGGGGGAGAAGCCAGACGCGAAGGGGTCTCAGATCGCAGGACTCCATTTATAGGGAATGCCCGGAACAGGCAAACCCAGGGTGACAGGCGATTCGGGGCGGAGCCCTGCTCTCCCCCAAGCCTCTGGGGTTTCCGGTTCTGCCCCCACCCCCACCCGTGAGACACGTGTCCGGGGTGCGGGTGAGGGACCCTCACCCGCAGAAAGATCTCCGTTGACCTCCACGTGCTACCAGCAGGCCCCGCCCCCCCACCTCCCTCACCTGCTGTACCGGTTCTTCCGCTGTCACCGGGCTGCTGCTGACGGTGGCTTCTGTCCCGTTGCCAGACATTTCTCAGGAACAGGCACTGTGGCAGACGCACGGATCAGTCAGGGTACAGCGTGCCCTGTCCCTCCCCCCAGGAGGAAGTCCGGGTTCACATCTGCCCTGCGACCTCCCCCCTCCCCCCCCCCCCCCCGTTTTTTAGAGCCCTGCCTCCCAATCCTTCACCTGCACCCGTGGGCCCGCGCGCAGATGCTGGTGCCGGTTCAGCAGGGGTGGGGTGGGGACCCGAGTCTGCTTCTAAAAAGCTCTCAGGTGCTGCTGATGCAGCTGTTTCCAGGGCCGCGCCTTCAAGGCCAACGCCAAGGGTTCCACTTAATCAACACTTTGGGGAGGCACCTGGGGTGCAAAACCTCTGTGGACAGCAATTCGCCGATGGCTACCTGCTTTCAAGAGCCATCTTCCCCTTGACCCAGAGGCCTCCAGGGGCTGGTCCCACACCTGCACTGCCACACGGGCAGAGGTGTATACCTGTTGTCGGCCACAACAAGGCACTGGAAACAACCCGGTTTCCCAGCAGAAGGGGCCTTGAGAAGACGGGGCACAGCCCCGGCTAGTGGCTACAGAGACCTACATGTAACTGGCCGGAGACCTTCAGGGAGGAAAGGTGGGGGTAGGGCGGCAAAGATGTCTGCTGGCACAGAATCTCCAGACACAGGAAACTGTTGACAGTGGCCACCTTTCAGGGAAGATCAGGTGGCTGAGGCAGGCCTCTGACTTTGGAGCCAGGTAGGTAATATTACCAGTTCAAAAAAAAAAAAAAAAAGCTAAGCATTAAAAAGAAAAAAAAATATGGAGCCCCTCGGTGGCTCAGTCCTTTGAGCATCTGACCATCTGACTGTGGCTCAGGTCACGATCTCAGGGTTCATGGGATCTGTCAGCACAGAGCCCACTTCGGATCCTCTGTTCCCCCCCCGCTCGAGCTCTCTCAAAAATAAACACACACACACACACACACACACACACACACGAGAGACGGTGCCTGCCCCCACTGCAGACCAAGTCAGGCTCTGGAGTGGCCAGGGAGGCTCCCCAGGTGAGTCTCCTGCACACGTTTGCAAGGTACGACGGGAGCCACAGCTGCGCTCCGTTTTTCTGGCCAGGCGAGGGCAGGTGGGTGTCAGACCCAGATGGCAAGAGTCCCAGCTGTGCCCATGCTAGACTTGGGCGGAGCAAGGAGCCTCCTCTCCCCCGGCCTCAGCCCCCTCACCTGCGAAATGGCGCTAAAGGTACAGCCTGCCTTCGGGGCTGGTTCTTCCGGTATTTCTGGGAAGAGCCTGTTGTGAACCCCTGACCTTGATTCTGAGTCTTTCCTTCTAGAGGAAGGGGGCCCCGGCCACCTGACCACCGCACTGCCCTGTCCCCCCAGGCACAATCCGGCGAACGGATGTCCCGAGAGCACCAGTTCTGGGGTCCAATTTGCAACTCGCTAGCAGTGGGAGCTTGGGAGAGCAGCACCCTCTGGCAGAGCCTTGCCTGCCCCATCTGTAAAATGGGGATAAGCGTTCCCAGCTCGGAGTCCCTGCAGATCGGCAGAGGGACTGCACATGTGGCGCTTAGCTCAGCGCCTAGCACGTAGTAGGTGGTCAATAAACAGAACCATCTCACGCACATGCGAAGCCAGTCAGGAATGAGCTCCTGCTTGTTACCAAGGTCCCCAGCTGGGAAGTGGGGCCAGCAGGTGCACTTGCCCCTGGTGATCATCACGAGTCCCATGATTTCCCCCACCTTCCCCGGAGCCTGAGCTCACCTGGGCACCTTGGAGGCCCATTCTCCCATTCCCTTTGCCCATCGATCCCTCCTGGCGCGGGTTTAGCCAAGGGGCGGGGGGCGCATTGCAGATGTCAGCGCCCCCGCAAAGTCCCTGGGGTCTGCAACCAGTCTGCAGCCGGCTCCAGCCCCCAGAACAAGAGCTAGCTGAAACGCTGCAGTTGCGCAGACGTCCAGCCGCCAGGGCATGCTAAGATACAACTTCCAAAGTTCCCAGACACCGAGGCCCCAGGCCCGGCCCTTGGACTCAATCCTGACACAGGTCCCAAGGACTCAGATAATGGGTAGGCCTTCCCAGCCGCCTAGAGCAACCCATTGGCCACACCCACCCAAGGGAGGGGGGGGGGCGGAGGCCGCCCGCGAGCTCCCCAGGGTCAGCTGGGCGACCAGAAACCGGGGTGTGGGAGGAGTTAAGCCCCCAGTTGGCAAATCCATTTGCTGGAAAGGGGGCTTTGCCAGGCAGAAAGTCCCCTGGTTGGGGGCGGAGGAGGAGGGGTAGGGGCGCCCTAAAGCCCCGGGAGGGCCGATTTCCTGTGCAGGACAGGCTGCCGCTGCTCGCCTCCAAACTGCGTTTGCAAAGCAAGCACAGTTTTTGTTTTTGTTTAGAGAGGATGTGTTTTATAATGGGGACTTTACTGCCGCCCCCCCCCCCGCCTTAATACTGCCACTTCTAGGGGCTCTTTCTGCCTCCCCCTAAAAAAGTCTCAGGAACTGAGAGGAGAGAGTTTGAAAGTCTGACTGTGTTCCAGAAATTGGATTTTTTTTTAAAGTGGGGGGTGGGGGGTGGGGCACTGAAAGAGACAAGAAAGCTCAGCCAGGGCTGGAGACCCCTCCCCAGGCCGAAGAGAGCAGCCGAAGCCCCAGGAAGGTCCTCCCCTCTCCTTCCTCCCCTGGGACGCCCCGGGACTCGGCGGACCTCGCCCCCCGCCTCCATGGGGCCCCCCCGCCTCTCACCGCGGTCAGCGGGACGTGCAGGGCGCGACAGCCAGCTCGGAAACCGTCTGGGGCTGACCCCCTGGGGAGGCTTTTATAGTCAAGGGGGCGGGCGCTCAGGAGTGACGGGCCGGAGGACCAATCGTATCGGGAGGCTGCCCGCCGTCAGGCCTCGGCCCCGCTCGGTCCGGGACGTTGGAGCCACAAGTGAAGTCCGGGAAGGCCCGGACTCCTGCTGGGCGCGCTCGCGATCCGCCCTCTGTCTGAGTCGGGCGACCCTTGGAAGACGCCTGATCCAGCAAAGGGCGCCCCTCCCGACCTCGGGACCCTATGAACTCGGCGCAGGGAGGTGCGATCCGGGTTCTGGGATCCCCACCCCCCCCCCCAGTCCCCCCTTTTCTCCAGGAGCCGTGAGAACCCCAGAGATCGTTGTTTGATGCCCCGTCGCGTCAGGAACCGAGTCCCAACCCTGAGAAGGTGATGGAGCCAAGCTCGACCCAGCAATGTGAACAGAGCCTTCGCCACATAGGTGAACAGATAAAGAGTGCCTTCTGCCGGTCTTGACCTGCATGGTACCACTTAATCCTCCCAAACGGTTCCTTTATCATCCCCATTTTACAGATGAGAAAACTGAGGCCCAGAAACGGTCGGTCAAGGGTAGTGCAGGGATCAACTTCCAGATCTCTGACTCCTGGATCAACCCCTCCCTAAAGCAGCAACCACTTGGATTTGTTTGCACCCCCCCCCCCCCCCCCCCCCCTCAATTATCCTCTTGGGGTATAAACCAAAGTCTCAAACTCACGTGGTCCCAAGGGCCAGAAGGAAGTAAGTGCCTCCGCTGAAGCGTTGGCAGCATGGCAGAGAGTGGCCCTATGGGACACCCACCCAGAGATTCCCACATCCACCAAGATTTTAGACTAAAGAAAGTGCTCTGCCTTTTACAAAAACCACTGGACCAAACAAAACCCAACTGGGGCTGTGTTCACCTCGGGAGCCACAAGTTTGCTACATCGGGTGGGGTGGGGTCTCTGAAGCCTCGGAAAGAACAAGAAAACAAATCGGTATCTGTGACTGTGGTTTTTCAACAGTGACCACACTAGCACCATGCAGTAGAGCTTTCTGAGACGCTGGGAATGCTCTGGAATTCCGTGGCATTCAATATGGTGGCCACCAGCGCCACATGGCTTTTGCACATCAGGAAACTGAATGTTCGCATCTAAGTAACCGAGTGCCGCTCGTCAGATTCTCAAGTGAGTCGGAGACCCCACGAGGGTTAAAGCAACCAGCCACAACAGTTACATGTTTCACATCGGCTGCTGGCCTTTTTTTCCTACCCATTCGCGTTCCTACTCATTCACTCAGCCATGTTTCTGGAGCTGCAGATCCAGATCCCAGCCTTGTGGTACTCACCACCCAGTGGCAGAGACAGACAATAAACGAGAAATGAGTGAAATACATAGTAGGTCGGGTGGTGGTGTTACTGAGAAAAGCAAAGGACTGAAGATGGGAGAATGGGGGTGTGATTTTTAATAAGGTGGGCAAGGGAGGCCTCCCAGATTGGCCTCTTAATGCAGAAGCGAGGGAGAAAAGGAGAGACCCCCTAGAGATCCGGGAAAACAGCACGTTCAAAGGCCCTGAGGCAGACCATGCTTGGTAAGTTGGACGCCCTGCCAGGAAGTTGATGAGGGGGTAATGCAGGATAAGAGTCCTGGGATGGATAAAGCTCAGAGAGGTTAAGTGAATTGTCTAAGGTCACACAGCTCAAGACTCACTGGGAGTAATGTCTGGTAGCACAACTTTTGAAGGAAAGGAGAACAGCCACGCCCACCTTCTTCCCTAGTGTGGTGCTCAACCCCCACGTTCAGCTCTCCGCCAGTGCAATCGGGGCATTGGCCATTGCGCATGTGCGTATGTGGGTGGGGGAGGGGACCGCACCACCAGCAGCGGCTACACGACCAGAGGCTTAGTGCTCGCTTTTCGGCACCACTGCCTCCTCCTCCTGGAAGTCTTCCTGCCCACCTCCTCAGTCTCCCCCAGGCGAAGGCTCCCGGACAAAATAGAGGATGTCCACTTCAATTTGAATTTCTGGGCAACCAGGAATACATTTGGGGGGGGTATAAGTATATCCCGTGCACTATTTGGGATATACTCAGCGTTCAAAAATGATTCCTTGCTGACCGGAAATTCAAACTGAGCTGGGCATCCTTTTTATTTTTCTGTTTTTGTTTTTGCTAAATGCGACAACTCTACCCCCAAACTCACTTCCCTCTCTCTGCCCCAGCCACGTCCTCCCTCTGTCACCTCCTCGCCTGGGTGGGCTCCTTGAGGGCAACACCTGTCCAGGATTATTCCCAGGGTGGGAGGTGAGAAACATACTGTTTTCTGAGCTATTTTATTACGTTATTCAAAGGCCTGCCTTTAATTTCCCCCATTTTCTGGATGAGGAAGCTGAGGGTCACAGAGGTGATGTTCCAGGTCGAAAAACCAGAAATGGGTAGTCGGAATTTGTTTGAGATCTCAGTGTACCCTCCTCCTCCCCTTCCTCCCCCTCCCCCTCCCCCCCCCCCCCTCCCTCCTCCTCCTCCTCCTCCTCCTCCTCTTCTCTAGGCACACTTTCCAGTGGAAAAGCTCGGAAAACTCCCATTCTTTTGCGCCGAGTCTAGAGGAAGGAGAGACAGACCAGCGTTGTGCCACTAGGTGGCGCTGCTGGTCCCAGATTGGTCTCTGCTTGGCCCAGGTGTCCCCTCCATCCACAGTCTGACCCTTCCCTCCTTCCATCCATCCATCCATCCATCCACCCATTTATCAAGCATCTCTTATTATGTGTGAGCCAGGTCAGGCCTGGCTGCGAGGACCTAGTGATTCACTGCATATTCAGTCATTCAGCAAACAATTATTAAGCACCTGCTGTGTACCAGGCTCGTGCTCGGCAGCCCTGGGGATTCAGCCTCTACCGCCTTCAAGGCACTTGTAACCCAGTAGGGAGACACTTGCCAGGGACTAGAAGGGCTGCATTAAGATTTTCACAGCACTGGGGCGCTTGCGTGGCGCAGTGGGTTAAGCGTCTAACCCTTGATTTCCGCTCAGGTCTTGATCTCGCGGTTCATGAGTTTGAGCCCCGTCCGCATCGGGCTTTGCACTGATAGTGCAGATCCTACTCGGGCTTCTGTCTCTCCCTCTCTCTCTCTGCCCCTCCCTCCCCTGCTCACGCTTTCTTTCTCTCTCTCTCTCAAAATAAATAAACTTAAAAAAAAAAAAAAAAGACTTTCACAGCCCTAAGGCACTTTGGAGTCCCTCCCTCCATGAAAAAAATATTGCAAATGACCTTTTACAACTGCACTGGTATTGCATTCATTCTTTTCTTCTGAATTTAAGATAAGTTGAAAAGAACCATTTCCACGGGCCCTTAAAAGTGTCATGGGTCCTGGGTCTCCTGGGTCTGACGAGTAAGTTGGCTCTGGTGGCCAAGGGTCAAAAATAGAGGCGATTGGGCCGCGTTGGAGCTACACAGGCACAGTGGAGCCCAGAGGAGGGCTGGACCCAGGCTGTGGGTGGTCCTGGGAAGCCTCCAGGAGGAAGTAACGTCTAGGCCGAGTCCTGAGAGAGAGGAGGAATCAGCGTCAGGCAGGTGAAGGCACTGGAGAGGTATTCCAGGCACAGGGAACAGAGAGTGTGAAGGTGCAGAGTGAGAGGCTGGAGGGTAGAATGTGGTGGGGGCAGGGTGTCAGGGAAGAGAGACCAAGTCCGACAGTTCGGTCAGGGCCAGGCTGATAGGAGCCCTGAGGACATTAGGGAGCCACAGAAGGTTCTGAAGCATGGTCAGCAAGGGCGGGTGGGAGGGAGCATTGGAAAATGTCTTGGGCCACCTTATGGATAAAGGAAATCAGGAAGGGGAAAACGAGCTCACCTGCTTGAGGGAAGTCTTACAGAAAAGGTGGAAGTCATAGAAAGGAGGAAAGGGCAATACAGGAGGACATTCCAGGCGCCGTGATGAATTACTCATTCAGGAAGTGTGTATTAAACACCTCTTGTGTGCTTTGCTGAACAGTGGTGAAACAGAAAACGGCCGTCCGGATGAGGTGTACTCCAGGCAACAGGAATTCCTGTGCAAAGGTCCTGGGGCAGCACTGGACTGCTGTGTTGGAAGAAGGGTGAAGAGGCCCGCCCAAGTGGCCAGAGCACAGCAATCCAGGGCGGGGAGAGAGGGAGGGGACGAGGCAGGTAGGCTAGGGGAGGACCTGGGCTTACACCCCGGTGGGGTGGGGAGAGGCGGAGGTGGGAGCCCTGGAGGGCTGTGGGCGGAGAAGAGGGGCACCTGACTCAGGTGGGGGCATAGCTGGGGTCTTGGCCCCAAGCAGGAAGCTTTTGGGCAACCACGGCGCCTTCTGGGAGAGGGGGCTGGGAACCAGGAGTAGGGGTTGCTTGGAGCCCTGCTGAGGAAGGGGCTTCATCAAGCAGAAGCTTTTGGCCTTTATCGTTGAAACGGAGGATTGAGAGGAGGGAGGCCCTGTTTAGGTCTCTGGGGAGGGGGGTGGAGCCTTCAAGAGGCAGAGAAAGGCAGGGGTGAGGGCAGGGCAGGCGGGAGCTGATGGCCCATGACCAGGCCTGCAGGGAGGGTGGGGGTAGGTGGGAGAGACCACGGCAGGGAGTGGACAGGCCACGGTTCAGAAGGTCAGGTTGACTCGCGCCTGTGGCGAGGGACCCAGGGGGGCGGAGGCCACCTAGGCCCTCCCCGGGGCTGGGACCAGCGGAGGAATGAGTTTGGGAGGGCGTTGGTGAGTTTAGTTTTGCCTCTTTGAGAGCCCGTGGGTTGCAGATTTATCGAGTAAAATTACAGGATACCCAGTTAAATGTGAATTCCAGATACGCAATGAATAGTTTTTAGCATAAGTATGACCCCAATGTCGTAAGGGACATACTCATGCTAAGAAATGTTAGTTTCGCTGCGCGTCCTGTATTTTTCCTGGGAGCCACACCCCAGCCGCAGCAGCCCTGCCTACGTCTTCCCCAGCGACGCAGCTCCAGCCAGTGGCTGGACGGTCTGACCAACTGTGGCCCGATGGCCAGAAGGCAAGGTTTTGTCTCCTTGTGCCGGCTCGCCGCGGGAAACCGGGGGTCTTTTAACATGCAGGCCCTGGCCTGTCCCCGCCCCCCCCCGCCCCCCCCCCCCGCCCTCATGGCGCCAGCTGCCCGCTGTCCCCTGCACGGAGGTACGGGCTTGGGGGGAGGGGAGCAGCTCTGAGACCCACTGTCCCCTGGGCCGGCCCCTCCCGGGCCGGTCGGGTCCCACTGGGCACCGCCAGCCCCAGAATGCCAGGCCAGGGGTCCCGGCAGAGGGAAGGGCTCCGTGTGGCCTCTTTCCACCCAGCTCTGGTGGCCCGTCCAGCTCAGAGCCAGACATCTGAGGCCCCCTGGCCTTTCTGTGAAGTCCTGCAGGCAGAGCGGGCTGACTTCCTCGTCAGAATGTGCCGGAAGGACGGAGGCCTAGGGGCGGTTGACCAGGAACTAGATCCCTCAGGGCCACAGCCACCCCCTGCTGCCCCTACACTGAGTGGCCTTGTCTGGGGTGGCCAGGCCCAGCAGCTCAGGGCCTGGCCCGCCAAGCGTCAGCTGCCAGGATGTGCCAGTCACGTTGGTGGGGAAAGAACACCCCGTTCTTGGCTCTCCCGGCTGCCCCTTTGTCCACAGGCAGAGGTGGGGGGCTGTTGTCCTGGCAACCGGCCCCTTCCCCCTCGAACAGTCCCTTGAGGTGAGGAGTGGAGGCACCTGGGATCTGGGGGTTCCGGCCAGAGAGGGTCTCCTGTCACCCAGGACGGCAAAAGAGCACCCCCCCCCAGCCCCCCTGCCCGCTCAGGGCTCACATGTCCTGGACACGGGGGAGGCCAGGTCACCCCCTTGGGATCGGAATGCCGGAGGTGGCAGCAGCAGGGGGGAGGACATTCCCAGCGGGGCAGGCTCCGTGGTGGCAGCTGCCGGGCCCCGCCTGTCCTATGTCCCCTGAGTTGGAGGCTGCAGCTGGTGCAGTGGCTTGGGTTCCTGGGGGGTGGGGGGTGTTATTTTGGGGGTGGGGGCGAAGGAACGTGAGAAGCACCTCCCCCCGGGGCAGGAAGTGGGGCGGTCCCAGCTGTGTTCTCCCGTTGGCCCACCTGTCCCAGTGGGTACCACAGGCCACCGCACAGGAAGTGTTCCCAACGCCCGCCTGTGTGGTCTCCTGAATCTGGGGCCCAGAGGGGAGGCAGCCGACGGCGGCGGGGAGGGGGCAGGAGCCCCGCCGCCATTGTGCGTCAGAATCTTCCAGAAGCCCCCAGCTGCGGTGACAACAGTATCTGGGGGGGTGAGTGCTTACTTCGGCCGACGCGTTTATAGACGTAGGCTGTTTAATCCTGCACCTTTGGGAAGGAGGGACGAATGATGAACTCGAGTTTTACAGGTGGGGATACTGCGGCTCAGAGACGGAAGTGACTCAGCCAAGGTCACACAGCATATAAATAGCAGAGCTGGGAACCTCATTAGCATTGACTGTATCAGATACACGAACTCCACATAGACTTCCGACCCTATAACGCGGACAGGGGCTTTGCCACCTGGGGCAATGCTGCCTTCAGAACTCTCAGGGATTCTGCCTCCACTTGGGGTGTCCGGAGACATTTGCAGTTGTTTCTACTCGGGGTGCTCCCGGCGTGGAGGGGGTGGGGCCAGGGATGCTGCCCAGCCCCCACAGTCCCCAGGGAAGCCCCCACAGAGAGCGATCCAGCCCCACGTGTCAAGTTGTGCCACGGTGAGTGATAACAATTCACATTTAAAAGCCGTCATGGCGATCATCAGTAGTCACATTATTTTAAGTGTGATAATTCCTTACAGATTGTACAGATGACAAAGCCCACGTCCGGAGAGCCTGTGGTTCAGACTCCCAGCCCTGCTCGGGCACCGCCATTCCTGGCTGCTTCCATGATGCCCTGTAAGCTTTACAGGAAAGGGTGCTGGTGCCCAGGGGAGATGTAAATGAGGACTCACACCCGCAGCCCCCAGGACGGGCTCAGACCACCCTGGGTCCCCGTCTCGGCTTGGCCACTCACTGATGCTGAGGGCCGCTGGCCAGCCGGTCACCTGCCCCAGCTCTGCATCTCTGAGATGCGTCCCTTCCTCCTAAGCCGACGCGCTGCTGAGCGGTGGTTAGGGGATCTCATCCTGGTTTTGTGAGCCTGGGCGCCCCCCTGCCCTCTCTGAGCCTCTGCTGCCTGGTCTGTGAAATGGGGGCAGTGATGACCCTTGATGGCTGTTGGCCTGATTCACAGATGATGGAGAGGATTAAGCGAGGCAGTCCACAGCTCGGCTTGGTGCCTGGGGCACAGTGAGGACCATGTAAAGCTTGGGTATTATAGGGGCGCCTGGGGGGTTCAGTCGGTTGGGTGTCCAACTTCGGCTCAGGTCGTGATCTCAAAGTTCATGGGTTCGAGCCCCGCGTTAGGCTCTGTGCTGATAGCTTGGAGCTTGGAGCCTGCTTCGGATTCTGTGTCTCCCTCGCTCTCTGCCCCTCCCCTGCTCATTCTCTGTCTCTGTCTCAAAAATAAACCCTAAAAAAAAAAAAAAAAAAAAAAAAAGGCTTGAGTATTATTTAAAATTTTTAATGTTTATTTTATTTTTGAGAGAGAGAGAGAGAGAGAGAGAGAGAGAAAGTGTGAGCGGGGGCAAGGCAGAGAGAGAGGGAGACACAGAATCTGAAGCAGGCTCCAGGCTCTGAGCTGTTAGCACAGAGCCCGATGCGGTGCTTGAACCCATGGAGCGTGAGATCGTGACCCAAGCTGAAGTCAGACGTTTAACCGACTGAGCCACCCAGGTGTCCCATTATTTTTAAGTAGGCTTCATGCCCCGTGCAAAACCCAGCACGGGGATCGAACTCACAAGCCCGAGATCAAGACCTGAGCTGAGATCAAAAGTTGGACCCTCAACTGACTGAGCCACCCAGGTGCCCCTTGGGCATTGTTATTATTACAAAAAATTCAATGGTAGTAAAATACACACAACATAAAATTTACTGTAATTTATCCTAGCCATTTTAAGTGCACAGCTTGTGCACAGCTCAGTGGCGTTAAGTGTATTCACACTATTATGCAACCACCCCCCAGCATATCTCTCCAGAACTTTCTCATCTCCCCAAACTGAGACTCTGTCCCCATGAAACACTGACTCCCCGCCCCCTGCCCCACCCTGGGCTCCTACCATCTACTCTCTGTCTCTGTGGACTGGGCTCCTCTAGGGACCCCCGTGAGTGGGATCATGCAGGATTTGTCCTTTTTTGAAATTTTTTAATCTCTCTCTTTGAGAGAGAGAGAACGCGCGTGTACAAGTGAGAGAGGGACAGAGAGAGAATCCCAAACAGTCTCTGTGCCTTTATCACAGAGTCCGACTCAGGGCTCGAACTCACAAACCTCGAGATCATGCCCTGAGCTGAAATCAAGAGTCGGACGCTTCACTGACTGAGCCACCCAGGCGCCCCAGGACTTGTCCTCTTTGATTGACTTACTTCAGTTAGCATAACATTCTCCATGTTTATTGATGGTGCATCATGTTTCAGGATTTCCTTTCTCTTTAAGGCTGAGTAATATTCCATTGTATGAATGGACCACACCTGTTTATCAGTTCATCCATCGGTGGACCCTCCAGCTGCTGTGCCAGGGTGTGATCATGGAAAGAGGAAGAGTCTAGAAGGATATTAAAGGTGGACCCAATGGAATTGGTCAAGCGATTGGTTGAGGAATGTGGTTTTTAAAATTTTTTTTAATGTTTTTATTTATTTTTGAGAGAGAGAGAGACAGAGTGCGAGTGGGGGAGAGGCAGAGAGAGAGAGGGAGACAGAATCCGAAGCAGGCTCCAGGCTCTGAGCTGTCAGCACAGAGCCCAACGTGGGGCTTGAACTCACGAACTGTGAGATCATGACCTGAGCCAAAGTTAGACGCTTAACCGGCTGAGCCATCCAGGCGCCCCAGAGGAATGTGGTTTTTAAAAACACACCCAAAGGGATGCCTGGCTGGCGCAGGCTGTAGAGCATGTGACTCTCCCTCTCCAGGTCATGAGTTCAGGTCCCGTGTCGGATGTAGAGTTTAAAGTAAAAAAAAAAAGGGGCGCCTGGGTGGCGCAGTCGGTTAAGCGTCCGACTTCAGCCAGGTCACGATCTCGCAGTCCGGGAGTTCGAGCCCCGCGTCAGGCTCTGGGCTGATGGCTCAGAGCCTGGAGCCTGTTTCCGATTCTGTGTCTCCCTCTCTCTCTGACCCTCCCCTGTTCATGCTCTGTCTCTCTCTGTCCCAAAAATAAATAAACGTTGAAAAAAAAATTAAAAAAAAAAAAGAAGCAAACAAAAAACATCCACAAATGTTTTCTTTTTTTAAGTTTATTTATTTATTTATTTTGAGAGAGTGGGAGAGAGAATCCCAAGCAGGCTCCGTACTGTCAGCATGGAGCCCGACTTGGGATTCAGACTCACAAACCATGAGACCATGACCTGAGCTGAAATAGAGTCAGGCACTTAGCCAACTGAGCCACCCAAGCGCCCCTCCATAGTGTTTTGACACTCCTTTATTTAACAAAAAAATTTTTTTTATGTTTATTTCTGAGAGAGAGAGAGAACATGAGCAGTGAGGGGTCAGAGAGAGAGAGGGAGACACAGAATCGGAAGCAGGCTCCAGGCTCGGAGCCGTCAGCACAGAGCCCGACGCGGGGCTCGAACTCACGGACCGCGAGATCGTGACCTGAGCCGAAATCGGATGCTTAACCGACTGAGCCCCCCAGGCACCCCGACACTCCTTTACAAAAGTGGAGCCTAGGGGCGCCTGGGTGGTG